CCGAACTTGAGATAAGAAGTGCTCAGTGGGATCCAGGGGATTTCCTAGCTACCAGTGACATCGAGGGGATTTCCTGGGTTCTGGGGGTGGAGCAGAGTAGGAGAAATAAAGAGGTCCTCAGAGACCAAGGCTGGGAGCCTGAGGATGAACTAGACGCTGATGGTCCTTCCCATGCTTCAGCCACAAGGGATTTTCAGCTTTGCATTTTATTTTATTTTATTTTTTGAGAGAGAGAGAGAGAGAGAATTTTTTAATATTTATTTTTTAGTTCTCGGCGGACACAACATCTTTGTTTGTATGTGGTGCTGAGGATCGAACCCGGGGCCACACACATGCCAGGCGAGCGCGCTACCGCTTGAGCCACATCCCCAGCCCCATTAGCTTTGCATTTTAGAACAGTCACTTGGCAGCAGGATAGAGGGTGGACAGGACAGGGATGAGACCAGAGGAAGAAATTCCTTAATGGAGGATCTTTGCTAGCTCCTCCTAGGGGAGCTGGTTGGGGGTTGGGTTTGGAAGACATGGCAGCTGGGACAAGAGGGAGACTTCTCTGAAAACAGGTGCATGGGGAGGGTCCCATCTGCTTCACTAGGACAGGTTTAGGGAAAGACAAGTGGAAACTGCTGGGTGTGAACAGGTACCCGAGTGGGATGCCCAGGCTGGAGCTGGGAAAAGAAATTGGAGTTCTCCATAGGAGGTGAAGCCTGGGGCCCAGGAAGACTGAAAGAGAAAGGGATGAGTAATGGGGACAGGCCAAGGAAGGTAAACTCACAAGGAGACCTGGAGGATACGCTGGGAGGACCAGGGGTCCATGTGTCCCAGGGACCACACAAATGGCTCCAGAAAAGTCTGTAAGGACAGAAGAGAAGGCCTTTTCATGACTTAGGGCACCTCTGTTGACCTTGGCAAGTGCCATTTTGGGGGAGGGTACAGGGGATTGAACCCAGGGGCACTTTATCACTGACCTACATATATCCCCAACCCCTTTTTTATACTTTATTTAAAAACAGGGTCTCTAAGTTGCTCAGGGCCTTGTTAAGTTGCTGATGCTGGCCTCAGACTTGCAATCCTCCTTCTTCAGCCTCCTGAGTCACTGGGATTATAAGGCATGTACCACCACACCCAGCTGGCAAGTGCCTTTTTGATGGGGCCCAATTATCGTAGATTAGAATGGCAGGGATAGAGAGGTGAAGGGTTAAGATTCGGAGATGACTTGTTTTCCAAGGTGCTTCACGGGTCAGATGAAGAAGGGAGATGTTATTGCTGGTGGTTTCATTACCCTAGAAGAGGCCTGGGATGGCTTAAATACTGGAGCCTAGAGAGACCAAGGCCAGAGGGTTAGGGGCTGGGGGTAGAGGGGATGGGAGCATCTTTTGAGGTGGGGGAGGCCAGAAGCACTGGAGGATGGCCCTGAGATGGAAGGTGAGTGGGAGGGTCTTGGGAGTGGATAGGAAGGTTCCTGGGAACCTGTGTCACTGTAGTAGAAGCTGAAGTGACCTGCTGAGTCACAGCAGGAGGAGGGAGGCTGGAGAACAGGCTGCCAGTTTGCGGGAGCCTCCGGAGAGGGTGGGGGAGCAAGCTGTGGAAGGACTGACCATTCAGGGACCAGCTGGGCTTGGAGGCCTGTGCTGAGCAGCCCCTCTGCCCAGCCCTGAGGTTTTCTCCAGTAGCTCTAGGCAGTATGGGCTGGGAGCTGAGAAGTTTGAGGTCAGACCACCTGCAGCAGGCCAGGGGTCAGCTGGGACAGGGGACAAGGAGCCCAACAGATCAAAGGAGTAACTGGCCAAGCACCAGTCCAGGTTGGGAAGGAGGAGGTGGCTATGGATTGGAGGCCTTGGAGTCAGTCAAGAACAGGCAGAGGACAGTGGAGCAGGGGGTGCCAGAGGGTCAGGAGTGTCCCTTCTGGGAGGTCCTCCAAGATGAACAGAAGCCTTGGAAAGTTGGGGGCAGTGACATAGGGGCTGAGGCTCAAGTTTAAGGAGGTTCACCCTGAGAGGCTCTGGAGGAAAGTGCTGGGCCCTGTGGTTGGAGGTGGAGTCCCCCAGGGCGAAGCAGGCCCTGGGGAAATAGGAAAGCTGCAATTCAGGGCCCCCAGGACTGGGCTCTGGGAAAAGGGACAGATCACAGAGCTGCAGATCTGAGCCTGAGGACGGGCGTCTGCCAGGACCAGCAGGGCTGGTAGGGAAGCATGTGGCCTGGACCTGTCCACCCCTCAAGTCTTCCGTTGATAAAGGCCCTGCCACCACATGTCCTGCTCTTTAACTCGGACCTCTGAGCAACACCTTCCTCCTCTGGAGACAATTTGGGCCTCTGGGGTTGGTTGCCTCAGGAAGGACGAGGAAGCCAAGAGAGGAGGAAGCCAAGGACTTGACCAGATTAGAGTTCCACTGTGGTATTCCCCTCCTTTATAATCTTCCCACTGGCTCACGCTGCCAGTTGAGAAGAGGCACTAGGCTGGGGAGGCTGAAGGATCATGAGTTCAAAGGAGGATCCTGAGTTCAAAGCCAGCCTCATCCATTTAGCAAGGCCCTAAGCAACTCAGTGAGACCCTGTCTCTAAATAAAAAATAAAAAGGGCTGGGGATGTGGCTCAGGGGTTAAGTGCCCCTGGGTTCAATCCTTGGTACAAAAAAGAAAAAGAAAAAGAAAAAAAAAAAAGAGGCACCAGTCAGAGCAGGGGTAACGGGACTCCTGAGGGACTGGAGGCCCAAAGGTTATTGTTGGTACAGAAGAAAGATTAGGAAGGAGAAACAGGCACACAGTGGTGGAGACAGAGAGAGAGAGAGATCTGACAGAGGGACAGACAGGAAGACAGATTGCTCGAGACAGAGACAGGGAGAGAAGGTGCTGAGCAGGCTGGCCGGATGCCCAAGAGTTGTCCCGGAAGCTGCTGGGCTGGACCCAACCAGGCAGGATGGATGGCTGCTTTGGAAAGGCAGAGGCCATCAGGCCAGTAATGGGGCTGGCCGTCTCTCCCCTCTGAACAACCCGCCATGGAAAATGCAGCCCAGGGACTCTGTTTCCCCAGACAGGCTAAGGTTGCCCTTGAGGGCTTCCTAGAGGGCAGTATGAGGCCAAGAAAGGGGCCGCTATGGAGGCATGGACCCCAGTTCTGCCTCTCCGTAGGGTGAGGTTTGGCACCCACTCACCTGTTTCTTTTTCTTTCTTCTTTATTTATTTAGGTATAGGTGACGGAACCCAGAGGAGTTTTACCACAAGTCCACATCTCCAGCCCTTTTTATATTTTATTTTGAGACAAGGTCTCACTAAGTTGCTTGGGCCTTGCTAAATTGCTGAGGCTGGCCTCCAACTTGGAGCCTCTTGCCTCAGCCTCCCTAGCTGCTAGGATTACAGGCGTTCCCACCACACCTGGCTTCCACTGAGCTTCTTGCAGGTCTTGGCTCTCACCTACAAAATGGAAACCACCACAGCTATCCTCAGGGATTCTACCTGTCTTCACCTGCCCACAGAGGCATGGACCTGAGTAAGACCAGAGCATAAAGGTGTCCTTTAAGCCTAATAAGAACTTGGAGGTAACAAATGTCTCTTGTACCCAGTACCCTTTGAGAATATTTCAAAAATCTAGCCAAGGGACTAAGGATGTAGCTCTGTGGCAGAGTGCCTTGCATGACATGGGGAAGCCCTGGGTTCAATCAGCAACACTGCAAGAAGAAAAAAAAAATCTAGCCAAGCAGTTTGGTCAAAGGATTGTGATTCTAGCTCCCAGGCTGCACAATTTCTAAAGATCCCACCAATTGGCTAGGTGCAGTGGTAATCTCAGCAACCCAGGAAGCTAAGACAGGAGAATGGTAAATTGGAGGCCAGCCTCAAATTAGTGATTTAGTGAGATCCAAAACAACTGAGTGAGAGTCTGTCTCAAAAAAAAAAATGTTAAAAGGGCTGGGGATGTAGTTTAGTGGTAAAACGCCCTTGGGTTCAAACTTCAGTACTAAAATTAAAAAACAACAACAACAAAAAAAAAAAAAACTCACCAATTAAGGGCTCCTATGCATCATCCCCTTCCCCCAAAGTCCAGGACTAAGCACTCAATGCAGAATGCCAAGACCATTGCAACAAGAGAAAAATATGTCTCATGGCTACATCCTAATCATAAGGCATCTACCCACATTGTGGCCCTCCACAACTAAGCTGGAAGAGAGACTCTTGATCACCAAGGTCACCCATAACATGGCCCCATCCTGCCTCTGAGACACTCATTTTTCTACTCATTTATTCAAATGTTGAGTGTTGGGCTGGTGATGGAGCTCAGTGGAAAAGTGCCTAGCATGTGCAAGACCCTGAACTCAGTCCCTAGCACTGAATAAAAAATGCTAAATGACTATTAGGTGCATAAAGTCTAGTAGGTGAGTTGTGATAAAAGGGCAAGCCCAGAATACTGGGAAAGGACATGGGGCAGGGGGGCATCTCTCCATCCCCACCTGTTCAAATCTATGGCCTTCAACCCCAATCTAAATTTTTTTGGGGGAGGTACCGGGATTGAATTCAGCGGCACTCTACCACTGAACACCATCCCCAGCCCTATGTTGAATTTTATTTAGAGACAGGGTCTCGCTGAGTTGCTTAGCACCTCACCACTGCTGAGGCTGGCTTTGAACTCACAATCCTCCTGTCTCAACCTCTTGAGCTACTGAGATTACAGATGGGTGCCCCTGGGCTGACTCAACCCCAATTTAAATATTCCCTCCTCCAGAAGCTTCTAGAAATGCCCTTTACTTCTGCCTCTGAGGCCCACAACATTTCTCTGAATCCCCACACCCTGGAATCTTTTATAAAGGGCTGAAAAAATATATGCATTACATTCCTAAGAACCTAAAACCTATTTATCTTTGCATCTAACAGAACCCAGCACAATAGCAAGGTCCAGCAGATACATATTAGTTGTGTGTCTTTGAATCTCATTGTAACTCAATGGATGTATCATAGTTTTGAGGCTTTCTCACCTGGAAATGGGGGAACAATAATTTTCACTTCCCACTGTGGCCAGGTGAATCAATGGAGATATTACATACAAAGTCCCCTGCAAGCTACAGACTGCAAAGCTCTGCACAGCTGTGGGCTGTGACAGCAATCTTGAGAGAGCTGGACTCAAGAGTCAGGCACCAAGGGCCTGCAGCTTCCTCTTCTTTCTGATGGTGATGGAGAGCTCTGAGCCTGAAGAAATAAAAATACGGGCAGACAGACCACGATGAGAAGAGGTGCATGGAAGCGCCTGCATACTTAGCTTCCCAGTCTGCCTCTATCTCAGGGTGGGTGACCTTGGGCAGGTTCCTTCTCCAAGCATGTGTTTCTCCCTCTGCCAAGTAGGAATACCAATCTCTGTTTTGACTAGCATGGCCCATTCTGAAAAATCACACAGGCCCCAAACCCCGATGTGATTCCACATCTTTCGCCTTTGCTGGGGTTTTAACTGTAGTTGGTTACGTTAAAAACTGCTCAGTGCGCATGCCTGTGCAGGGGCGGGGGAGGGGGGAACCTCCCTTTCTAGTGCAGGTCGTTTTGAAAATTAGCTTTAGAATTTTAACAGGCTTCTCTGCGTTAACCCTGCCTCTGAAAATCTGAGTAAATACCCCAGCCTTGGAGCGGGGGGGGGGCAAGGATGTTGTGTCAAACCTTTTTTGTAAGCTGCAAATGGCTGCACAGACTAGAAAAGTCTGCATACCCTCCAAGCTCTTGGGAATCCTTCTCGATTCTTCCTGTCCTCGAAGAGGTCGCACCAAGGAACAGACCCAGGATCCAGCCAGCCCCGCCCTTTGATTGCCGAAGCCCAGTGGCTCCCAAAAGCCCGAAGGGGCGCGGCGGGGTGGGCAGATTCCGGGGGAGTTGAGGGCGGCTCCTTCCCCCTTAGCCCCTCCCAACCCGCGCTTTGCAGTTTGCTGTGATTGGCTGTGCAGGTTCTCAGGCTCTCCAATCGGGAGGCTGCAGCGGAGCCAGGGGTGGAGCTTCAGTTCCCACGCGGGGCGGGTCTCATGCCCCACCCCGCGCCGCGCTGCACCAGGGTCGTGACTCAGCTGGAAGGTGCTACCCGACGAGGCGGGAGGGCCACGCCAAGCTGCACCCTGCTCCGCCCCGCCCCGCCCGGGGCCTTGCGTCTGGGGAGGAGGTGGGGACTTAGGAACTAAGGCAGGAGTCCTGAGATCTACACCCTGGTCTTTTTTGTGTGATCAGAAAAAAACCTCGACCCTTTTCTGGCCTTTGGTTTTCCTTCCTTAGAGAAGAGATAAGAATATGCGCTTCGCGGCTGGTCCCGAGGCAAGATAATGCCAGATAGGAAGGCCTGGAGCTTTGGGGTTTGACTTTTCAGGGTGTGAATTCCAGCTGTCTGATCTTGGCCAGCACCGCAATCCTCTTCTGTAGACCCAAAGAACAAGTTTCTTTCGCAGCTGAGGTGGTTGGGCAGGTGAAATGAGAGGGTGTGCACAAATGTAGAGGGGAAACAGCTCTGCACAGTAGTTTGGTTGCAGAATCCCCGATAGGAGAAACAGCTCTGAGTAGCAAAATAGAAATCACAGTTTTGAAAGGCTAGTCCTGGAACCTAGGCCATAGACAAGAGAGCTGTACAGTTCTGCATTAAAAAAAAAAAAAAAAGGTAAGACGTCCTATTAAAAAATATTAAAAAACAGGCAATGGCATTGAATGAATAGACATTTTTCCAAAGAAGATAAACATATGGCCAATAGGCATGTAGAAAGACTGAACATTATGAACCTATTTCACTCCATGTTCCTAGGTGTGGAACAATTATAAAAACAAATACAGTATATATTATGGAATATAATTAATAATACTTATAGCCTAATAACATATAACCATATGAGCTTATGGCTGATTTCCAATCTATTTTAATGCACTTGTGTCAATTTTGTTGAAATATTCTCAGGATTGAAACCTTGGGACTTAATGGGTTTCAATCATTAGAGATATACCCATAGGATGGCAGAATTAGAAATTAATATGTGTTGGGGTTGGGGATATAACTCAGTTGATAGAGTGCTTGCCTCACATGCACAAGGCCCTGGATTTAATCCCCAGCAGGAAGGAAGGGAGGGAGGGAGGGAGGAAGGAAGGGAGGGAGGGAGGAAGGAAATAATAGGTGTTGGTGAGGATGGGGAGAAATTGGAACCTCAGTGTATTGCTGGTAGGAATGTAAGATGGTGAATCTGCTGTGGAAAACAGGTGGCTCCCTAAGGTGTTAAACACAGAATTGCTACCTGAGTCAGCAGTTCCACTCTTAAATATATACCTAAGAGAATTGAATATGGTTCTCAAACACATACCTGTATACAGATGTTTATAGCAGCATTTTTCATAAGCAAAAGATGAGGGCTGAAGATATAGCTCAAGGGCAGAGCTCTTGCCTTGCATGCTTGAGACCCTAGGTTCAGCTGGGCTTGGTGGTGCACGCCTGTAATCCCAGCAGCTAGAGAGGCTGAGGCAAGAGGATCTCAAGTTCAAAGCCAGCTTCAGCAATTTAGAGAGGCCCTAAGCAACTTAGGAAGACTCTATATCAAAATCAAAAATATAAATGGGCTAGGGATGTCTTTCAGAAGTTAAGTGCTCCTGGGTTCAGTCCTGGCACAAAAAAAAAAAAAAAAAAGCACCTTCCACAGGGCCTGGTTCACAAGGACTGTTTAAAAGCAGGGCATTTATTTATTTGGCACTGGGTATTGAACCCAGGGGCATTCAACCACTGAACTATACCTCCAGCCCTTTTTATTTTGAGACAGGGTCTCACTAAGTTGCTTAGGCTGGCTTTGAACTCACCATCTTCCTGCCTCATCCTCCTGGGCTGCTGGGATTACAGGCACACACCACTGCACCTGGCAAAAGCAGGGTATTTAATTTTCAATTTTCAGCTGTGCATTGAGCCCTTACTGTAAATCACCTGCCAAGTTTGCTCTATTCACAGCCTGAGATTGGTTGTGCTTTGGGAATAAAGACCTTAGTCGGTTTAGCAGGAAAAAAGTTTTCTGGAGGAGGAGGCAAAAGCAGGAATCAGAATAAGCAAAAGTTAGGGGTGATCAGCAGAATCCAAGATTTGTGGTTGGGATGCTGGCTATCCTACTTTAATGATAATAGATACCTAGCTGGATCTTTTATTTATTTGTTTATTTATTTATCCATTTGGAGTTGCTGGAGATTGAATCTGGGCTTTGTACACACTAGGCAGGTGCTCTGTTACAGAGCTACACGCCCCCACCTTGTGATTTTTTCTTTTGGTATTGGGGATTGAACTCAGGGTGCTGGTGCTCAACCACTGAGCCACACCTCCAGTACTTTCTATTTTTTGAGACAGGGTCTCACTAAGTAACCTAGGGCCTCTCTAAGTTGCTGAGGCTGGTTTTGAACTTTTGATCCTACTGCTTCAGCCTCCCAAGTTGTTGGGATTACAGGTGTGCACCACAGTGCCTGGCTAGCTCTGGATCTTTTTAATTAAACCTTTGGGGGCAAGGTATTCTTGGCAAGTTGAAAGATGGCAATGTTCGGTTGGCAGTGGGGCCCTGTATCACTTTTCTGTGGATTCCCATCATCCTTGGAATAAGCTCCTCTGTGGCCCAAAATCCCTGAGTGCTCCAGCCCTTACCAGATTCTCTGACTCATGTTCCTTTTAGCTCCAATCATGATGTCCTTCACTATGGTGCTTTTGCAGCCCAGGCTAAGTCCCCATTGAGGGATCTGGAATAGATCCCCTCAAACCTTCCTCTTTCTTTCTTTTTTTTGTTTTTTTTTTTTTTTTTTTTTGGTAAAAGGAGCACTGAGCTCTTTACCACTGAGGCACATCCCCATCCTTTTTTATTTTTTATTTTTGAGACAGGATCTTGCTAAATTGCTTAGGATCTTGCTAAGTTGCTGAGGCTAACCTCGAACTTGAGATCCTCCTGCCTCAGCCTCCTGAGCCACTGGGGTTATAAGCAGGCACCACGGCACCCAGCTGTATATCTCCTTTTGAAAGTTGGCCTTTGTGCCAGAAAGTATGTTCCAGAAGTAATTTTTGCGTGTCCTCCATTCATTCAAAAAATATTTATTTGAGCATCTGCTGTATGTTAGGTCCTGTGTACAACATTGGGCACAGCAGAGCAACCCCAGTCTTCAACCCTGGGGCTAGGAAAGGACAGGCCAAGCAGCAGTGTGTGACATGTGGGGTGAGTGTGGTCAGGGGAATAACAGGGTGTAATAGGGGTTCCTGCTCCAGACTAGGAGGACCTGTCTGTGAAGGCCTTCTGGAGAAAATGAAAGCTGAGACTGAGGCTAAAAAAGAATTGGTGAAGGGGAAGGAGGAGGAGAAGATGATGTGTATTCCAGGCAGAGAGAACAGGATGTGCAGAGGCTCCCCTCTGTGGGAAGAGAGCCCAGACATTAGAGGAATTGAAAGTAGTTCAGCCTGGCTCAGTCCTGGCAGCAAATGGCAAGGGATGATGCTGAAAAGACAAACAGAGCCAGACTGTGCAGGACCTTTTTAAACTGGGCTAAGGCATTGAGAAAGAGCACTGGGGAGCCATGGCAGGTGTTTGAGCAGGGGAGTGGAGGAATCTCTCTGTTCCTGTGCTATGGGGAATGGGTTACAGACAGGGAAGATGCATAAGGATAAAGAGAAATGGACAGCATCTAGGAGAGTTTGAGAAAAATCAATAGGACCTTGTGATTCATTCGTTGTTTGGGGTGGGACTTGAAAAGGAGCTAGTGATTTGGTGGTGCTACTACCAAACAGGGGCACTCAGGTTTAGATGTAGATGACAAAGTTACGAGTGGGATAGGGTGTTTTAAGAGAGAGCAGGGCACTTGAAATCAGTGTGGGATTATTCTGTGAATTTCTCAAGAACAAAAGCCCTGCCTATTTATTCCTGTGCTCCCAACCTCAGTAGGCCCTGGCCCAGAGAACACAAATGTGTGCTGAAAAAACAGTGAACAGAAGCTGGGTGTGGTAATCCAAGCAATCAGGAGGCTGAGGCAGGAGGATCACAAGTTTGAGGCTGGCCTCAGCAACTTAGCAAGACCTTGTCTCAAAATAAAACAATGAAAAGGGCTGGAGATGTGGCTCAGACCTGGAGCACTTGCCTGTCATGTTAGAAACCCTTGGTTCCATCCCCAGCACCAGGGGGATAAAAAAATGAACAGAATCAGCCTTTGCAACTGGCTGCAAGACCCACAAGACAGAGCAAAACTTAGGAGCCTGATGTCTGAGTCTGGAAAGCCAGGCTATGCTGCTCTAATGAACAACTGGATCTCAGTAGCTTAAACAAGGATTTTTTTCTCACTTCCACTTCATGTCTGTCTGAGCCAGTAGAGGCTTTGCTCCAAGTGGCCTTTGCTTAGACACACATACTGGATGTCATTTGGTCACCTTGAAGGAAGAGAATTGTGCCATATTTCATTAGTGAAAGTGTGTCATAGGGCCATGCCTCACTGAAAGAGGTTGTGATGGTAACTGGGTGTGGTGTGCACACCCATAATTTCAGTGACTTGTGAGGCTAAGGCAAGAGGATCATAAGTTGGAGGCCAGAGGCCAGCCTGGACACTTAGTGAGACCCTGACTCAAAATTAAAAAAAAAAAAAAAAGGGGGGGGTTATAAGCCCGAACACCTATTTAACAAGGAGTAAAGGTTTTTTTTCGCAGCACAAAAAAATAGGGGGGGGGGGAGGTGGGCATGGAAATGCAAATCCACCTCCCACCTCTTGCTTGCAAGGTAACAAACTGGTAATGCTGATGCCCACTGCTAACAAGTGCCAGGAAGCCTAGGTTCCAGTTCTAGCTCCCTCTGCTTACCCAGACCAACTTTTTCTCCTCTCTGAGCCTCACTTCTCCCTGTTTGTAAAGCAGGATGGGTAATACTTCCTTCCCAGGGCTGTGGTGAAGATCCATTCAATGTTTATTTTGTTTAGATGAGGAGAGTCCAGTGCTGGGAAGCTGTGATATTTCTTGGGACATTAGAGACACACATTACAAGGAATGTGTGGCTGGAATGGCTAATACCACAGGTAAAGCAGAATCCCTGAATGTGCTGGGGACAGCAAGGCAGCTAGAACATTCCTCTGTCCCTCTGCCTAACTTCCTGAATTCTTTCCTCTTTCTTTCTCTCTCTCTCTCTCTCTTTTTCTCCCCCCTTTGATACCCAGGGATCCTTTACCACTGAGCTACATCCTCAGTCCTTTTGATTTTTCATTTTAAGACAGTCTTGCTAAATTGCTGAGGCCAGCCTAGAACTTGTCGTTCCTCGCCCCAGCCTCCTGAATAGCTGGGATTACAGGCATGCACCAGTGTGCCCAGACCGGCCTGGGCCACTTTCCTATCTTTCATTCCTGTAGCCCTTGTCCCTCCAATGACACAGCAGGTCTCAGGGAGCTCTTTAACAAATGAGGCAAAGTCATTCCTGCCAGAAGCTGAGGGAATTGAGAGTCAGATTGTTCACCTTACTCCTTAGATGGGAGCCAGGACTCAGGTTTAGAGCCTGTGGGAGACAGAATAAGGTTCCCCAAGGACATCCGCATCCTAATCCCTGGAACCTGTGACTATGTTACTTTGCGTGTTTGATTAAATCAAGGATCTTGAGATAGGGAGATGATACTGGATTATTTAGGCAGACCTAACATAATCACAGAAGGCCTTAAAAGATGAAAGAGGAAAGCAAAGAGTCAAAGATGAGCTGTCAGAAGTAAAGATCAAATCAGGTGCAGTGACACAGGCCTGTAATCCCAGCAACTCAGGAGATTGAGGCAGGAGGATTGCAAGTTTGAGGCCAGCCTCAGCAACTTAGCATGTTCCTATCTCAGATTTCTGAAAAATCAAAAAGGGCTAGGGAATTAACTCAGAGGTCAAGCGCCCTGAGCTCAATTTCCAACACTAAAAAAAAAAAGGCCCAGAGGTCAGATGGTGTGATTCCTGGATAGAAGGTCATGAGCAGGTGAGCAGCTTCTAGAAGCTAGAAGCTAGAAGAGGTAAGGAAGCAGAGGCAGATTCACCCCTAGAACCTCCGAAAGACCATCACCCTGTGGACACCTTGAATTTTATCCAGGGATGTCCATTTCAAACTTATGACCTCAAGAACTGTTAAGATAGTAAATTTGAGGATGGGGATATAGCTCAACTGCGTGGTAGAGTGTTTGCCCCACATGCACAAAGGCCCTGGGGTCAAACCACAGCACCACATTAAAAAAAAAAAAGATGGTAAATCTGTATTATTTCAAGGAAGGACATTGGTGGCCATGTTATAGCAGTAAGAAAAAAACTAATACAAAGCCTTGCAGGCTTGCTAGGCACCACCTCTGGCACATGCCTCCAATCTGAGCAACTCTAATCCCAGCAACTCGGGAGGCTGAGGAAGGAGGATCACAAGTTCAAGGCCAGCCTCAGCAATTTAGCAAGGCCCTAAGCAACTTAGTGAGACCCTGTCTAAAAGTGAAAATTAAAAAGGGTTGGGGATATGGCTCCCCGGTAAAACACCTCTGGGTTCAATCCCCAGTACCAAAAACAACAACAAAAAAAAAAGACAAGCAGGCTGGACCTGAAGGGTGGGGGCTTGACACTGGACTGTAGACACAGGCAAGTCACATAGCCTGAGGCCAAGAGAGGCTCAAGCAGGATCTCCACATTGCTTTGTTTCCCATCTCCCTTCCCACTCCCTTTAATCATTTTTTCTTCTCTAGTGACTCCTTCACCTTGCTCTGTGACCTTGAGCAAACCCCTTCCTTTAGCGGGTTCTAGATTTCTGTATATGTAAAAGGAAAGAGGAGACAGTCCAAGGGCCAGGGTATTCTCTAGGGACCTTGGAGGCCTGCCACGGTGAGTCAGCATTTCCAAGATTCCAGCTCAGGGATGATGCTCTTGGGCCACCGCCTTCCATCCTCAGGCCAGATTCCTCCAGAGAGTCAGTCCTGCCTGGAATCTTCTGTTGCCACGGATAATGCACTGCTGTTCAAACAATGACCTCAGTTAAAAGTCAGGGAGACAATGCTTTATTGAGTTGGCACCTATGAACTGGTGGCTACAGGCCCCCAGGCTTCTTTGCTACTGCAAAGTGGAGGCTGTGGCGGGGGCAGCATAAATCAGAGCTGCTGGTTCCAGCTGCAGGGAGGAGCCACTGTCCCTGCTTTGGCCCCTCCAGCCCCCTTGTCCAGCCGAGCACCATCTAAATCCAGGCCTTCATGGAGAAGGTCAGGCAATGACCCAGGTTTTTCTGCAGCCCCTGGGAGTCTAAGGAAAGAGCTGCATGTGCCTCCTGTCTCCCCTGCTTAGGGATCCCCAGATAGGTCAGGGAAGGGAAGGGAAGGCATCCCATTTACAGAGGAACCCTGAGCCTTCTGGATCCAGGTAGAAGGAGGCAGGGTCAATAGTACTGTAATAGGAGTTCCTATGAAGAGAAGACTCTAGAGTCCCCAATCCCACCCCTGCCATTTTCTGTTTTGGCTAAACAAAACATGGATGTGTTCACTGCACTGGACTGCAATAGTTGATGACAGATCGAGGTCACCCAAGAAGTTGATGGGGACAGAGCCAGGTTCCCCTAGGCAGGACTTCCCCTCTGGGCAGACTTTCTCCCAAGCAGGGGAGGGAGGGGCAGGGAGAACTGCAGAAGTCACTGGAGGAAAGCTTCCTGGAGGAAGAGAGACAGGTTACAGTAGGCTCCCGGAAGAAGAGGTGATCTGTCGAGCCAGCTGGTCACAAGGGCCGGCACAGGACACTGGCATCCTCACTGTGGTCACAGTTGTGGGCATCCCAGCGAATGTGAGAGCAGAGCAGTAGGGTGCTCTCATCCCCACGGCACTTGACGTTGTCCAGAAGGATGGGGCCTCGACCTTGGCCAAAGTGGGCCTCACCAAGGGCTGCCAGAGCTGGGCCACAGCCCAGCTGACGGCACAGGACACCAGCTGCCCGCAGGTCCCAGGCATCATCACAAACTGTGCCCCACCGTTGCCCTAGGAAGAGCTCTACACGCCCCTCACATCGGTGGGCTCCACTGACCAGACGTAGGTGTCCTGTGGGGGAACAAGGCCTGGGGGTAAGGGGGCTGGCCTATGCCAGGCCACCTCCAAGCTAGGCCAAGTAGGGGGTGAAGAGGCTAAGGCAGGGTTTGAGACACAGCACTGCCCAGGAAACCCCATGAAGACAGACAAGTGAGACTGATTCAGGATGAGCAGTGTGCCAGACCCAGAGACAGGCCTGAGAAAAAGAGATCAAACGTGCCGAGTGCTTCTGTCAGCTGTCTCTCGAGGCCTTTGCTCATAATCCCAGTACTTCAACGCCAGGCCAGCCATCTGGGGATTGTGATCATGTCCTATTGTGTCCCTTGAAGGTCACTGGAGTCTCTACCCCACTTCCTGAACTAAATTTGGAATTACTTCATTACTCCCCTCAGGACAGGATCCCCACTCTTTGCCTTTAACCCTAACTCTAGAAACCTCTAGATTGCTCTAGTTGGAAGTTCATCTCCTCCTTTCTGGACACCATACCCCTATTAATTAGGACTGAGACCAGCACAAAAAAAAAAAAAAAAAAAAAAACAAGTGTTCCAACATCTGGTGCAAATCTGTTGAGCTGCTATAACTCAGGCTGTGACTTCCCTCAACCTAATCCATCTTTTCTGATGCTCCCACCTCACTTCCAGCTGGCTGTGGGCACCTACCATCCCTGGGTCGAGGAGTGGGCACCCGAGTGGTCTCAGAGCCGTCCTGCTGGACCTGCAGTCCCACTTCCTCTGGGCCTGGCTCAGCAAGAAGAGAAAAAAGAGATGGCTGTCACGTTGGGGAACATGCTCCTCAGGGCCAGGTCACCTCCTCCTCTCCTCCCATTCCCAGAGAAATCTGTTCTGGGGACAGAAAGGACTTAACAGGATACTAAAAAACTTCTCCCTGTCCTTTGTACTAATTTGACCCTGGGGCCCGAGGCAGAACGCTTTGCGGCCAGGACTTTGAAGAGGGAGAGGACGCCCCATCAGGCCTGGGCACTAAATGAGGGTGAAGATATTGATTTCCACAGCAATCGATGAACAGAAGCATTTTTCAACGTCCCATTTCTACTGCCTCCTCCCGTTGGCGACTTCTGGGAAGGCTGATAGACTCTCCCTTGCTTCCCACCTCTCTTACTAGAGTTTGCTGGACTATGACTCAGACTCCAAAGAGGTCCAAGCCTAGGGCGAGCTCCCAGACGCGCCCTGCACTGCTGCACGGAGCCGCGCTCCCAAGCCCCGCCCTGCCCTCGCACTGCGGAGGCCGCGCCCTTCCGGCCCCGCCCCTTCCGCGCAGCCGCAGAGCGCAACAGCAGGCTGGCCGCTAGTCCCGGCGGAGTGCTCCCGCGGCAGTGCCGCAGAGAGGCCTCACGCGCGTCCTACGCCCATCCCTCTCAGGCCCCGCCCAAGCGCGCAGTGCGTGTACGCGAGGCCCCACCCTCTCTGCCTTGCGTGCGTACGTGGGCCCCGTCCGCACCGCAGAGGGCGCCTCCGCGCGGTCCAGCCGCGGTCTCACCTGCGCAGAGAGCGCCCGCGTCCTCGTGGTGACCGCAGTTGTGCTGCCCCCAGCCCAGGTGGAAGCAGTCGCTCAGGCGGGCTTCGGTACCCACACAGCCCACATTGTCCAGCAACACCGGGCCGCGGCCGTAGCCGAAGTGACCGAGACCCGTAGCGCCCAGCGCAGGTCCGCAACCCGCCTCGCGGCAAGCCACGCGCGCGTCCGCGAAGTCCCAGTCATCGTCGCACACGGTGCCCCAACCCCCGGCGTACAGCACCTCCACGCGGCCACGGCACGGGCCCGGGCCGCCCACCAGCCGCAGCCGCCCGCCTGCAGGGCGCACAGGCCCGCGGCCAGAGGGGGCTGGGCTGGGGCGGCCGGCTCCCTGGCAGAGCCCCGGCCCCATCCTCTCCCACCCCCTGCGGGACACCTGCTCGGCCACTTACTTCTCTTCCCCGCAGCCCAGGTGGGTGTGGTGGACAGAGCCGACGCCCCAGAAGACTGGGCACCAACTCTGGTACCTGCGGAGACAGCGTTTAAAGGGCACTAGGAGGTCTGTCCTGCAGCAGGCGGGGGGACCCCAACTGCCACACCGCACCTCACATTCAGTCCTAGTCTCAGAGTCACCATGTATGGTGTATAATGTAGAATCTTAATTCTAGACGTTAACCTAATTTTAATCCCAGTAACAGCTCCAGCCCCAGTTCCAACCTCACTTAAAAAAAAAAAAAAAAAAAGATTTTAACATTGGTTTGTTTGTGTGTGGTTCTGAGGATCACCTAGCACCTCACCCGTGCTAGGCGAGCGCTCTACCACTGAGTTACAGCCCCAGCCCTCCAACCTCACTTTTAACCTTGATTCATCCTTTAGGTTAACTCCCTCACCAAGTCTCTGATTTCCCAAACTCAGCAGCAGCCCCAAATTTTACTTAAGTTCTTTGGAGAAATCTTACCACCGCCTCCCACCCCGCCGAACTTTTCAGGGCTCCGGGTTTCATCCTTGTTCCATCTGCTCATGGTTCTCTCACCCACCCTTACCATCTGGCCAAAAGCCCTGGCCTGTGAGTAATGGACCCATTCCTGTGAATCCAAAACAGCATTCCCAGTGCGCAGCCCCACCCACCTTGCTCCTACGGTTTCAGCCTGGAGGGTGGGCTTTATACCTGATGGCTCAGTGTGCCAGGCCCCATCTGCTCTTGTGGCCAAGGGTGGCAGTGCTGTGAGAGTTGTGGGACCCAGGACTAGAGCAGGAGAAAAGAGAGCAGGATCAGAGGCTGAGGTTCAGGTGAGCCATGGGCTCTCAGGAGAGGAGAGGAGGGTCTCTTAGAAATGACACCAGATTTTACTTCCTTGGACAGGGGCTCAGCCCTAGCTGGGATCTAAGAAGGCCCCACTTTTGACAGTAGTGATTGACTTGGGCTAGCCTTTACAGTGTATTCAGGGCTTGCAGGACCATGCTTTCAGTTCCTTCCAGTGTCCTATGTTCTCAGAAGCCTAATGTGTCCAAGACTAGAGAGAAAGCCTTGCCCACTAGGGAGGGCCATTCACAATTCTTTTTTTTTTTTTTTAACTTTTACATCTTTTTTTTTTTTTTTTAGAGAGAGAGAGAATTTTTTAATATTTATTTTTTAGTTTTTGGCGGACACAACATCTTTGTTTGTATGTGGTGCTGAGGATCGAACCCGGGCCGCAAGCATGCCAGGCAAGCACACTACCGCTTGAGCCACATCCCCAGCCCCCATTCACAATTCTGAGGGGCTTGCAGAACAAGACTCATCTTGCAGATAAGATAGAGTTAGAGAGGCTGGAATTGTGGCTCAGCAGTAGAGCACTCCCTGGGTTCGATCCTCAGCACCACATAAGAATAAAGGCATTGTGTTGTGTCCATCTACACTTAAAAAATAAATAAAACAATTTTTTTTAAGATAGAGCTAGAAAGGGGTGGTCTGCTCAGGGCCATGCAGCAAGGACAGCCCTAGCTCTGTCAGACTTCTTGTATAAGAGGGTAAGGCTTTGCCTCTCAGGACCTCAACTTTCCCACCTGTAAGTGGGAATGATAGCCCCTGGAGTGCCAAAGTACTTTCCATCTTATACAATAGGGTCCATCTGTGAAATGTTGTTATTGGCATTATTAATCCTATAGGCTGAGAACACTTCTCAAATTGGAGACCACGTGGGAGAAAGTTACTATGGGAGCTTCAGGATTGCAGAGGGCTGTGCTAGGTGATTCTGAAGTATCTCTGGGGCAATTTTAAAGTACTGTTACTTTTTTTTTTATTTTTCAGTTTTCAGCGGACACAACATCTTTGTTTGTATGTGGTGCTGAGGATGGAACCTGGGCCGCATGCATGCCAGGCGAGCGCGCTACCTCTTGAGCCACATCCCCAGCCCATTTTTTTTTTTTAAATCAGGGATTGAACCCAGGGGCGCTTAACCACTGAGCAACAACCCCATCCTTTTTTATATTTTGAGGCAGGGTCTCCCTAAGTTGCTTAGGCTAGCTTTGAACTTACCATCCTACTGCCTCAGCCTCAGTATTCCACTAAGAGTTCTTGGAAATTGCTAGAAAGTTCTGGAGGCATTATTAGTGGAGCAGTACTGCAGTATTGTTACACAGCTGTGGAGTGTTCCCTAAATAGTAACGGGATATTCTGAGGCACCTTCTGGAGCAGGACTGAGAGAAGTCACTTCCAAGCCCTCCAGGAGAGCTCTTGGAACCGCTAAGGTAGCCAATGTTCGCTCCTCCCCCGCCCAGGCCTCAGCCCATCTCTACCTTGCCCTCCCCTCCAGGGCCCGCCCCAGAGCCTGCACCTGCACAGAGCGCGCCCGCGTCTTCATGGTGACCACAGTTGTGCACGCCCCAGCCCAGGCTCGGGCAAGCTGCCAGGCGGGGTTCGCCGCCTTCACAGTGCACGTTGTCCAGCAGGATGTGCCCCGTGCCAAAGCCGAAGAAGGCGTTGGTGGTGGCGGCCAAGGCCGCCCCGCAGCCTAGCTGGCGGCAGACCACAGCGGCGTCCGGCAGCCCCCAGTCATCGTCACACACCGTGCCCCACAGGCCGCCGTGCAGGATCTCCACTCGGCCCTGACAAGGGCCCGCGCCCCCCACCAGGCGCACGCTGCCCTCACCTGGTGAGGGGAGCGGGCTGGGGGCAGGGAACATCTCCCACCTGCTCTGCCTCCCCATTCACACACGTGCGCCAAGCCTGGACGCACCCTTCCGTGCCCCAGGACCCACAACCCAGGCGGAGCTGCCCGCCCACCCACCTCCAGGGCATTGCCTCCTCACAGTCCAGATGGGGCGGCTTGTGGGGTCACAGGGCAGCCAACCTTGGTTGGGTCATTCCTGCCTAAAACCAGCCCTCTGGTCCCTTTTCTCTGCTCTCCTGGAGGACTAGAGCGCAGGGCTTTGCCTTTACTACCACCTGAAGAAAACCTCCCCTTTCAAAGTGCAGCCCAACAACTCTTCCTCCATGAAGCCCTCCTGGCCTCCTGATTGAGGGAACCCTCTTCCTCCTCTGGACTTCCTTAACTGTCCTTCTTTGGGGGCCCTTTCCCTTTTTTATTTTTTGCAGTACTGAGGAGGGCGCCTGCTAGGCAAGCGCTCTATCCCTGAACTACATCCCTAGCCCTTTTTAAATTTTGTACTCTTGCTGAGTACCCAGGTTGGCCTTGAACTTGCATCTTCCTGCCTCAGCCTCCCATTGCTGGGATCGGATCGCAGGCTGCCCTTTTCCTTTTCTTGTTCCTCATTTTTGTGCCCCCCCTCCACTAATCTGCTCCCACCCCCAGTTCCCTCCTGCTCACCTTCTCCAGCCTTCGGTTTGCAATCCCCCTCTTCCCCTGCTTAGGGTAGAGTGTGGGCGACTCCTAAGGCCTAGGGGGGTCCCCCACATCACCCTTACTTACCTTTCCCATTCTGAGGAGTTGTAGGGGGCGCTCTACTGCTTAGCACCTTCCTTGTTGGGGACTGTGTCAGCAAGAATTCTGGGGAGGAAGCAGGAGGAAGGGAGGATACCTGAATTTTTCTGTGCTACATCTTCCCATCCACAGAATGAATGACAGGGCAAGGACGTGGATTCCTAAGGTGCTGCCTCTGGGGCTTCTGGGTGCACAAAGGGTCAAAGAGAATCACCCTGAGATTGAGAGGAGGAGAAGCTACCAAACTTCTTACTTCTTCAGTTTTTTCTTTTTCTTTTCCGCAGTGCTGAGGATTGAACCCAGGGCTGCTGTATCACTGGACTACACCGTCCCCTCAGCCCTTTTTATTTTGAGATGGGATCTCACTAAGTTGCCCAGGCTGGCCTCAAACTTGCAATCCTCCTGCCTCAGCCAGAGTCATTGGGATTACAGGCTTGAGTCATTGCACCCAGGAATGCATCCTTCTTAAAGCAGTTCACATTCCTGGGGAACTTATGCACATTTTCAGGTCCCACCTCAGACCTGCATACAGCCCTCTGCCTGCTATAGTCGGCCACCCTCCCCATCCGGGGCCTCAGCTCACCATCGCACAGGACAGCAACGTCCTCATAGTGAAAGCAGTTGTGCACGCCCCAGCCCCGGCTGCCACACTCGCTCAGCATGGTCTCCTGCCCACGGCACTCCACGTTGTCCAGCAGGATGGGCCCCCGGCCCTGGCCAAAAGCAAGGGGCCGCGGCACAGGCAGCGCCAGGCCACAGCCCAGCTGACGACACACCACATTGGCATCCACCACGTCCCAGTCATCGTCACAGACACTGCCCCAGGAGCCACTGTGCAGGACCTCCAGGCGCCCCCGGCAGCGGCTCGGGCCCCCCACCAGCCTCAGCTCTGTGAAGAGGGTTGAGCTGGCACCAGGGGGATCACTGGGCCCAATCTGCAGGATGCCCACTTTGCCGTAAGCCATGGACGTCTTGGGATCTGTCCCTTCTGTGAAATGGAGAGTCTGAGGCAGTGCCTTGGACGTGGGGGCATCTAGAGTCACGGAGGGCTGGTTAGTCATTCCTCCCTGAGGTCCTCTGAGTGCAGAGTACCTGAGGGCAGGTAAGGGTAGGGCAGGGCACCTACCTGAGAAAGTCCTTGGAGTGGCCTGGAGGGCGCTGGCTGAAACAGAGCAGGGGATAGCTTGGGCCCCTCTGCCCAGCCTCTGGCTGCCTGGTCTGAGCAACACAGCTTTCCCTCCCCATGGTCACCACCCAACTCCTCCCGGTCTCCAGCTTTTCCAAAGTCCTGTCACCTCTCTCTGGAACTGTCTAGATCAGCCTCCCTGCCTTACCTTTTCCCAGTGGTCCCTGGACCACTCCAGAAAGATCTGCTGGAAGCTTCCAGTCTCACTCTACTGCTAAATCCCTACAGGAGTCCTAGCCCTGAGTTCTGTTTACAATGACTTTTAGGGCCTTCTGACCAACCTCAACTTTTTTTTTTCTTTTTCCTTTGAGGTGGTGGTGCTAGGAATTGAACCCAGGGGCCCTCTATCACCAACCTACATCCCTAGTTCTTTTTATATTCTATTTTAAAATAGGGTCTCACTAAGTTGCTGAGGCTGTCCTTGAATTTGTAACCCTCCTGCCTCAGCCTCCTGAGATAGCAGGTGTGGGCCACTAGGCCCAGCTTTAATCTTCCATCAATCTTGTCTCCAGGTCTTGAACCCTCTGGCCAACCCTACTAATTACAGCCCTGAAGATCCTTCAGGACCCAGCCTGGAGCTATTGTGGAAGCCTCCCGGTGTCCCTGGGCTAGACGAGCAATCTCCCCTGATTCCTGGGTACTGTGTATATGCCTCTTCCAGTGCCTTCTGCTTGGTAATATGGACATGCCTGTCTCATACCTGGGTCCCCAGGGCTCCCTGCTCAGGGTGAATTAGAAGATGTTCAGCACCCCCTCCTTAATCATGTAAACTGCAGTGGAGATTCCTTATGATTTTCCCCCAAAAGGTTAACCTATGGAATCCTTCTACTTCGGCTGTCACTTATGTGCTTAGTGTCTCATGGGACTAACTCACTCTCTCATTAGGACAATGTATGAGTCTTGTAGGATTTAACAGACAGGTCAACTTCAGTGGGGGTTCAAGGCCCTCCAGCAAATATTGAGATAGCTACCAGACAGCCATGCAGGACAGTGGAGAAAACCGAGAGCCAGGAAGAAATAGCAGGGGCTGGCTGGGAACACTCACCCAGTGGCAGGAGGAGGAGGAGGGACAGGGCTGGGGGGAGGGGTGAAGGGGCCACGCCCCCATCTCCAGGCCTCCACCCCCAGCTCTTCTCATTGGGCTGGGAACCAGCCGGCATCTCTGCTTCCATGTACCTCCAGCCAGCGGATGGCCCTTCAGATAGTCCCATCAAGGGGCTAGAAGTCATAGCTGGAACATCTGGAATTCAAGATTCCCAGTGTTTCCTTCCAGCTGGAAGGGACAACTTCAGAAGGAAATGGCATTCCACTGGGGTTTGACATTCCTGCTGCAGGCAGAGGCAGGGGCAGGGGCAGCAGCTGGGAGATGACTGTTGGAAGCAGGGACAGAAACTAATGAGGAGTTAGGTTTGGCTGGAGCCGGGGATGTTCGAAGAAGGCAGGGAATGGGAGTGAGGTTGGAAGGGTTGGCAGGGCCCACGCAGACAGCCAGATGGCTCAGAGCTCATCCCCCAGGGCTGTGCATTCCCCAGGGCAGTGTCCCAGATGGCAGGCATTCCATTAACTGCCCTAACCTAGGGGAATATAGATATTTGCTTATTGTTTGATTTTTATTGGTTGCCTTTTTTTAAATTACAGTGCCTTCTATTTATGATAAAGGACCGCGATTTTCCATTTTTTTGGAACAATATAAAGTTTCCCTTTAAGATGGATTTAAATCCAAAGAAATGAGTCAATTCAAAGAAAAAAAAAAACAATTAAGGAAATCAGTTCCCATGTAATCCCAGGGACTCAGAAGGCTGCGGCGGGAGGATTGCAAGTTCAAAGCCAGCCTGGGCAACTTAGCAAGGCCCTATCTCAAAATAAAATTTAACAAGGGGGGCCGGTGTTGTGGCTCATTGGTAGAGCATTTTTTGCCTAGAATGAGTCAGGCAGTGGGTTCCATGGCACCACATAAAAATAAACATTTTGTGTCCATCTACAACTTGAAGAATATTTTAAAATATTTTTTTAAAAGATGTGGGGAAAAAAAATTTAAAAGGGTTGGGGATGTGGGTCAGTGGTAAAGTGCCCTGGGTTCAGACCCCAGTACCAAAAAAAAAGGTGGAGGAAGGTCTGAGGGAGTTACTGCCATTTGGAACACTCTGCCTTCTGAAGATTGTTTTTTCAGTGCTAAGGATGGGACCCAGGGCATCCTGCCAATTGAGCTACACTTCCAACCCTAAGACTTTTTTAGATTTTTGGATTGAGGTATAAAACCAAAACAATCCCCCCCCCAAAAAAAAAGCATAAATCCTGTGTGTGGGATTCAGTGAACGCTCACTCTGCGTCATCGGTGTCCTAGAAGCCCCCCCACCTTCACATTGCCTTTTCTGGCAGACTTTAGCTGAGTGTGACACCAGGTATGCCAATGATGAACTGGTGGGTCGGGTTGGGGACAGATGGAGACTTGCTCAGAGGCTGATGCAGGTTCTCAGGGCTCCAGATAATGAAGGACAGAGAGAGAGGACAGACGCCAAAAGATAGCTGGGGACCAAGTTGGCAGGGCAGGGCCTCCATGGGCTGGGGGGGCTGGGGGAGAGGAACACCCAGCTGCCTCCCAGCCACCCTGATAGGCACTGCAGGAGGAAGTGCCCTGGAGGCTGGTTCTGTTGATACTTGATGCCCCTCCCAGAAGGTCTCCCCCTTGCCCACAACCCTCATCTCCACCTTGCTCACAACCCTCCACCCTGGCATAGTTGGGGAGAGCTGGAGAGGGTGAAAAGCTATCTGGACGCAGACACGGAGTTTTCAACACCCCATTCATGGGGCCTCGTACAGCCCCCAGTGGAATAATCAGCTTTTGTCCTCCCTCTGTCTGGACTGGGGACAGCTGGGAGATGGGAGCTGAGAACCTTGAGGAGGGGGAGAACCACAGGCCACTCTCTGCTGGGGCACATAGTTTTCTGGACCTTCCCTTGCCTCCCAAGGCCACCCACTTCTCAGGCTGCTGGGACACTACCTATCCCCAAGCCAGATCAATCTCCAGCTTGGGGGTGTGGGGACAGATAGATTCCAGAGAACCTGCCAGGAATCCTCAGGTGCCCCCACTCCCTCCCCTGCAAAGGAGAAAGACCCTGCTCCTGATCTCCATGGACTTCTAATCCTAGCTGACCCCAGCGCTGTCCAAGTGTCTGGTGAAGCCTGCCTCACCCCCACTTCCAGTCAGCTCCTCTGTCCTGCTCATGTCCTGGAAATATCCGTCAAGATAAGGATTCACCTTCTTCCTTTCCACCTTCCACAGATGCACCTGAATCCTTGGTTGTCACTTTACAGGGCAGGCAACAGCACAACACAGTATTTAGAAGCTGCTAAGCCTCCCTGTTCTCATCTGTAAAATGGGGTTAGTAATACACTTACAGTTGTTGGTAGATGAAGGGAACTAACATTTGTAAAAGGTTTGGCCCACAGTGAGTGTCGTAGCTATTATTATTCTTATTGTAACCCCATCCAAACTATGAATCCTCAGTGGCAGGAGCCAGATCTTATTTAAGGGGCAGCAACTGGCACAGGATACCCAGGAAATGTTTGTTGAATGACTGGGTGAAGTTATGGGTGCAGAATCATAGATTGATGCCATCAGAAGGGGTCCAGGAGATTATAAAGGACAATCCCCCATCTGACCAGTGGATAACTTTTGTCACACACACAGACACATACAAACATACACTCGCAAAAGTGAAGGATCCATACCTGGGGGAATGTTCTGGGCTCTTTCTGTCCCTTCTTCTACAGTCAATCCAAGCTGGAATCACTCTCTCTGCCCTCGGATGTTTGGGAGGGGGAAGGATCCCCCCAGTGAAAACCAACTCAGAGCTTTCTTCTTTTCTTTCCAAAGATGGAAGGTGAACAGAGGCAAAGTCCCTGTCCATGGAGCTGGCTGGTGGCCCCAGCCTGTCCCCACCTGACCTTAAGAGCAGAGCAAGGCAAAGGAAGAGTGGAGGTGGCTTGCACTGCCTGGAGCAGCCCCAGAGGAAGGGCACCAGAGAGAGGAGGAGCCACTGGGGTTGGGTGGGGGCCCTTGGACTCTCAGGGCCAGGTAACCCCTCCTCTCCCTCCCCCTACCAGGGCTCCGGTTTCTGAAAGGCCTGCGCAGGGCTCCACCCCTTTGCAGAGCAGCCAAGCATCCCTGATTTCTGAAAGCCCTGACCCAACCCGGGAGTCCCCTGGACCACGTCCTGACCAGCACCTCTGTGGGGGTCTGGAAACATGGCCCCAGGAGCCTGGGTGCATGGGGTGGGTATCCCTGTCTCAGATGCTGCCAATTCCGTCTTCCTGTTTGGTACCTGGAGTTCTGGTACCTTTTGGGTTTTTGTAGTTATAAAAGTCAGGAGGTGACCTATAGTTGCAATCCAGAACTGGGCTGGGATTCTGCACATGCCCACTGGAACCACAAACTCTCAGAGCTGGAGAGCCCCTGAGAGCCCTCAAAGGGTGGTTCCCAAACCCAGCTGTATCCCATCACCCCTGAAGTGAGTTTAAAATACAAGCATCCCTCTCAGGTGGTTTCTAAGATACCCAAGATCCAAAATCTGCAGATGATCTAAGACTCTTATATAAAATGGCACAGTATGTGCATATAACCTATGCACAACCACACGTGCCTGTGATTTTATTATTATTTTTTACAGTGGCTGGGATGAAATCTCAGGGCCCTGTGCAAATAAGGCAAGTGCTCTACCACTGAGCCACACCCCCAGCCTTTCCTGAGTATTTTCAATCCCCCATCTGAATTCTAGGACAGACTTCATGGATACAGAGGGTGACTAAATGCAGATTCTTGCCCCCACCACTTAATGCCCAGAGATTCTCATCTATCAGTTCAAGGGCAGGAGCCTCTCAAAAGTAAACACATACATACATACTTTTTGGTTTGGGGAATGGAACTCAGGGCCTTGGACATGCTAGGCATTGTCCTGAGCTACACCCCAAACCCCAAAAGTATGTTCCTGAAAAACTTCTTCCTTTTTTTTTTTTTTTTTAGATACTGGGGATTGAACTCAAGGGAACTCAACCACTGAGCCACATCTCCAGCCCTATTTTGTATTTTAGAGACAGGGTCTCATTGAGTTGCTCTGAGTTGCTTAGTGTCTCACCTTTGCGGAGGCTGGCTTTGAACTCTGAAAAACTTCCAAGGATCAAACAGGTCTCTCTGCCATCTTCAGAAGATCTTTATCATATGAATTTTTATTTATTTATTTATTTATGGTGCTGGGGATTGAACCCAGGACCTTGTGCATGCGAGGCAAGAACTCTACCAACTGAGCTGTGTCTCCAGTCCCCCAACTAGATTCTTAACACTCAGCTTCTAGCATTCTGGTATGTTCAAAAAGCAAATAATGAGGCAGACTGCGGCAGGGATATAGCTCAGTTGGTAGAGTACTTGCCTCGCATGCACAAGGCCCTGGGTTCAATCCCCAGCACCACAATAATTAAATAAGGGCTGAGGATATAGCTCAGTGGTCTAGTACCACTGGGTTCAATCCCCAGTATTACAAAAACACAAGCAAATTTAAAAAACAGCAGCAACAACAATAAATCCACTTAAATACCACTAGCATGAGCAAGGCCATAGATTTGGTCACCAGCACCAGTAAAAGAGAAAAAAAAAATTAAATGCCACTAATTTTGTATTCTTCCTCTCTGAGAGCTCGACCCAGGCCCAGTGATAGGCCATCTTTAAATGCTGCACCTGCCAGTACTTCATCTCCTGCTAGGATTTTTCAGTAGACTCCTGACTCTTATTTCAGTTACTGGGCAGCATAAGATCCCACCCAGGAGCAAGATGTGGTGGCCCATGCTTGTAATCTCAGCAAATTGGGAGGCTGAGGTAGGAGGATCCTGAGTTCAAAGCTAGCCTCAGCAAAAGCAAGGTGCTAAGCAACTCAATGAAACCCTGTCTCTAAATAAAATACAAAATAGGGCTGAGGATGTAGCTCAGTGGTCAAGTGCCCCCAAATTCTATCCCCAGTACCAAAATAAATAAATAATGAAAAGGGTAATTTACCATTGAGTTACACTCCCTGTCCTTTTTTATTTATTTATTTTTGGTATTGGAGATTGAACCCAGGGGGGCTTAACCACTGAGCCCAGCCATTTATTTATTTATTTAGAGTTTTATTTAGAGTTGCTTAAGGCCTCACCAAATAGCTGAGGCTGGTTTTGAACTCCT